TATTTATGATTAGCTTTTCACTATGATGTCGTTACTTTTTGTATACTTTGTTCACTCTTTATTAGAATTGTTGGAATTCAGTCACAGAACACTTATTAAAGCTAATTTCATTTACAAACATTTAAAGAAAGTTTCGGACGTTTTTCAACTCAAAATTCACGCGGACTTTTAAATACTAGACTAATATCAACATTATTGGCCTGAAGAATTAAATATGTTACGCCTAAGACAACGATCAACATCATCACTAGTCTTAACCAGATGTTTTCTTTATGCTCTTTGCATTTTTGTATTTGATAGCATTTTCCTGCTTTACGACGCTGATTCAAATTGTATTATGTATGTGTGTATGCAAAGTGTTTAGTGATAAGTGATAAGAGTAGGTATTGTAGTTGGTGGAGTAGAGAAAGAGAAGAGGAAACAAAGAAAATGCAATTTAATTTACAATGTGATTGACAATCTAGTTAATCTACTTGTTTGTGAATCGTTTGTATGCGTAACTACAATGGCGGGTTTAAGCAACAGCTGGTCGAATCGCCTCTCCTCTGATGATTGATTGCTAGAACGTCTTAATCAGTCCCAACCAACAACACACACATAAATAACATAACACGACAGAACAGGACAGACACAACTACGAAAGAGCAAACATAGATGATGTCCCTCTTAAAGAACTAATATTACATTTCAACATCTACAATACTGAATTCAAATGAGCTCTCACATGACGCTGACTACAGCTGAAATTAGTTTAGACACGGCAGCTCAAGTCGAGAGTGCCCGACTAGGAAATATCCTGGGCCATTGAAAACCCCAAATTCACTTCAAGAAACTAGCCTTAGCGGCTAATTCAAATTATGAATTATTTGTAAAGAAGTAGAGTGAGATTGAGGATGGGCCAACGAAATATATATGATCTCTAATAGGATCTAGGATCTAGGAGTATATATACACAGACAGATCGCATCATCTGTTAAATTTGCTGCAGACTAGATGATTTTCTCTATATATATTTATGATCCACTATTGTGATCTATTATCTATTAGCCAGCAATGAAGAAAGTCATATTAAAATCGTTTAGACATTAGACAACTTTAGCCTTTTGGGTCCACACGAAAAGTGCACAAACTGAAGTCATTAAATTTAGGCATTTGTTATAAACTTTGATATTGAAAAGCTTCAGATATTAATTGCAAAATTAGCTCAAAAAAACATCTAAATGATATATAATATTTGTTTTAGTACAGCGTCATATTGAGCTAATGAGTTATTGTGTGCACGAGAGAACGAAATGTTATAGATATCAAAAACAGTTAAGGCCAGCACAAATCAGACAACAAGAAGCATACGAGTACAATATGTTTATAAACTAGAGCAAGTCGGGCGTTTACTTACCATTTTGGACTTCATTTTTTCCAGTTTGCCCTCCATCTCCAGACGGTGATCCTTCAACCGTTGCTCACAGCGAGACATCTCTTCCTTGGTTTCACGATACTTTGCCTGCAATATCTGGCAATCGAGGTCGCGCTGAATGAGGCTGTCTCGCTGCTGTTTCAATTGCAGCTGGGTTTCCTGCAATTCGCTGAAGCGCTCCATGGTCTGCATCTCAGTTGCCTTTATTAGCTGTTCATGGGCGCTACGGATCTCAGCTAGTTCAGCATTGCACTTTTCCAGTTCCTCATTCAGAAGGTTTTGCTTACGCTTCAGCATTAATTCACGTTCCTTGCTCTTGCTGCGCTCCGCTTCAAGTTCAGTCAACTTATTATTTAGTTCAGACGTCAGGGACTCGTGCTTCTTCTTCATTGCTTCCAGCTCCTGGTGAGCTGCCAATAGTTCTGACTGCAGCTGCTCCAGATTCGAGCGGTCTTGCTCCGACTGCTCAGCACTGGCAGCGGCATTTTTTTCATGGGCTATAATTAGGTCACGCATTGCATCTTTGGACTGCTGCAGCTGGTCTTTCAACTCTGATAGCTGTTTCTTCTGCTGCACTATTTCAGAATTGAGTCCACCAATTTCATGGACCAGTTTCACCTTCTCATTCTCTGTCTTTTTCGCCTGATGCTCCAGATCGCGAATAATATTGTGAGCCTTCTTTGACTCTCTCTCATACTTCATTAGTTGATCACGATATGCATCGCGTTCTGATTCTGCCTCAACGCGTAGCTGCTCTAAGGTGGCCTGCTTCTCCTCCGACCGGTTCGCACGCTCCTTTGTCTTGCGCAAGTCCATCTGGAGACTCTCCTTTTCGTTTTGTAATGCAGTGATTAGCTCCGCCTGTTCGGTCTGCTTTGCCTTGGACTGAGACATTTCCCGTTGTGTTTTGGATAATACYGCTTGTTGTTCGCCCAGTTTAATGGAAATTTTCTCCAATCGCTTGGTGCTCGAGTCCAGCTGTGTTTTGGTCTTCTCCAATTCGTCCTCTCTCTTACAGATCAAGCACTGAACATCTGCCAGCTGCTTTTCGATGATGCGCTTCTGCTCTATCTGCTGTATTTTCTCCTGTTCCAGGTTCAAATTCTTGTGCTGTTCGCTCTTTAATAAGTCCTCTAAATCATGAACCTCTGTTGCAGCTAAATCTTTTTCCAACACCTTCTGCAAAGCCAGCTCCAACTTTTGCTGAGCAGACTCTAGTTTTTGCTCTGACTGTTCAAGTTCGCCCTTTGTCTTCTCCAACTGCATAGATTTGGCCATGATCTCTTTTTGAAGTGTTTTGATCGTAGCCTCGCCCATCTGAAGGAGCCGCGTTTTCTCCGCAAGCTCCCATTGCAGCTCGTTATTTATTTTCTCCAAGTTCTCGGACTTAGCTACAAGCTCTTTTTGAAGCGTCTGGATGGTAGACTCGCCCATTTGAAGAACCTCCGTCTTCTCCGCAAGCACCCGCTCCAACTCGCTTCTTGAGTTCTCAAACAGTTGGGTTTTCTCTTTGATCTCTTTTTGAAGCGTTTCGATCGTAGACTCGCCCATCTGAACGATCTTCGTTTTCTCCGCAAGCTCCTGTTCCAATTCATTTCTTGATTTCTCAAACTGCTGGGATTTTGCCATGATCTCTTTTTGAAGTGTCTCGATCGTAGACTCGCCCATTTTCATTAGCCTCGTCTTCTCCCTAAGCTCCCGTTCCAACTCGCTTTTTGACTTCTCAAACTGTTGAGATTTTTCCATGAGCTCCTTTTGAAGCTTCTGAACCGTAGACTCGCTCATCTGAACGAGCTTAGTTTGCTCCGCAAGTTCCTGTTCCAAGTTCTCTTTTAGCTGGTCAAACTGCTTAGTTTTGGCCATGATCTCTTTTTGAAGCCCCTGGATTGTAGACTCGCCCATCTGAACGATCTTCGTTTTCTCCGCAAGCTCCTGTTCCAATTTTGCTTGTATTTTATTGGCAGCCCTCAGTCCATCTTTAATGCCAGCCAACTCCTGAGACTCGGTCTCAGCATGATTTCCATTTTGTACCGTTGCTGCTTCAGTTTTAATATTAATGTGAAACTTGTGCTCAATGTTGCCCTTTGAGTCCCCATTTGTATTGCTAACGTCATTCTTATGAGCAACTTTTAGATCCTTTTGGATTCGCAGCTCTTCGCCAATATTTTTGCATTCTACCTTTTTCAGTGTCAGCTCTTTCGTAACTTTATCACATTGCATTTCCAATTGACCTAGTTTGCCTGTCAGCCTCAAAATAGTCTCGTTGTGCTGCCTTTGCATTGTGTTTTGCTCCTGTCTCCTTACTTCTTCGGACTGCGCTACATTGCGTTCTAGAACCTTACATTTATCGTTCAATCGCTCATATTTCATCACAAGCTGTTTGAGCTGATTGTGCAAGAATTTAAGCTTCATGGGCAACGCTTCTATGTTAACCTCCTCAATTGCTGGCTTCAAATATGGATTCATGGTGTCCAAGATGCAATCAGAGATGTTGCTTACGACCGTGAGTTCTTCAGATTGCTGCAACATCTCGGATTCCTTCTGCTTCAGCTGGTTCTCCATTCGCTCTACCCAATCTATCAAAATCTTCTCGACTTCTTCCAGGCCATTTTCCGAGGTTGCCTCTAGATTAAATCGAGCGCATATTGTTTGGATGAAGCTCTGCAACTGCTGTTGATTATTGCTTAGTGCCTGCTGAGCCTCGTTTACCAACTGCTCACTATCAATTGCAACCTTATTATCATTCAGCAGCTTCTGAGTTTCGATTATCCGCTTCTGGTAATCAGCCATCTGCTGCTGATAGTCACTTAACTGCTTTAGAGTTACCTTTAGTTGTTGATTAGTAGACTGTAGCTGTTCCTTACTACCATTCAGCTGCTTCTCAGTTTCTTTCAGCTCCTCCTTGCTATTATTCAGCTTCTTCTGAGTTTCGTTAAGCTTTTGCTGATATTCAATTAGCTGTTGCTGGTAGCTATCAATTTGCACCTGGTAGTCGTCTACATGTTGCAGACTAAGATTTATCTGCTCCTGTGGCTCTAGCAAATCATCTTCGTCCAGCGGCTCCTGTTGCTCCTGCCCCTCCTCCTGCTCAGCAGCAATTCTTTCTTCCTGATCATGATTAAACTCCTCCAAAGTATCTTTAAGCTTCTGTTGATATTCGTTAAGCTGCTCTTGAATATCATTCAGCTTCAGATGGGCCGCTTGAAGCTGGCCGTTCGTATCGTTTAGCTTCTGTTGGTATTCACTAATATGCTGCTGGTTCATAAATATTTGGTTTTCCTGATCAGCAATTATTTCTTCCTTAGCCAAAATACGCATTTCAAGATCCTGCAGTTCTTGACTACGAGCCGATGGGTCTTGATTTTCTGTAATCAAGCGATTTTGTAGCAACATACGATTTATACCACAAACCTTAATTAATTCCCTACCAATTTTCGTTATTTTAGCATCCTTCAATTGAAGCTGTTCTTTGACCGGTTCTGGAATCGTCTGGACGGCAATGTCACACTGCTGAGCACTTACTGGAGTTTCTTTATTGGTCTGGACGGCAATGTTACACTGCTCAACATCTACAGGAGGAGTTAACTGACTTTCTTCTTTGATTGTCTGGATAGCAATGTTACACTGCTCAACATCTACTGGTGGAGTTAACTGAGTCTCTTCTTTAATAGTCTGGACGGCTATGTCACACTGTACAACATCTACTGATGATGTTGACTGACTCTCTTTGATTGTCTGGATAGCAATGTCACACTGCTCAATATCTACTGGTGGAGTTGACTGACTCTCTTCTTTGATTGTCTGGACGGCAATGTCACATTGCTCAACATCTACTGGTGGAGTTAACTGACTCTTTTGCGACCCGGACGCCGTCATCTGAGCCTGCAGTTCCTGCACACGTTTCTGTTCTCTCTTGTAGCGGACGGATATATCGGCCAAGCTACGCTCTACCAGGCCCAATATCTGTGAGTGATCAGGCGACAAAGTTATTTCTGGTTGATAAGGCTGTACAATCATTAACAATTCATGCAAAATGCTCTTCTTTTCTCTAGCAATGGCGTCCAGTTGATCGCGCAGATCATCGTTTTCGAGCTCTTTCTCGCGCAACTGCTTGTCAATTACGGAACTAGCTAAAGTTTCCGGTGTGGTATTCATACTAGCCGTCGATTGACTTGTATCGAGCAAATCCGATGAAGCGTTGAGGACCTCACGGCCATTATGCAACTCGGTGCGAGCCTCCTGCAGGCATCGCTCCACCTCGAGTTTATCACGCAACAGACTAGAGATTTCAGCGTCCTTGGTGGTCAACGACTGAGTAGCAGCAGCCAGTCGGAGTTCCAGATTTTCTACCTTATCAAGGCAATCGTAAAGCTGTTCCTCACAGGATTTGTGCTGAGAATTAAATAAATCGGTTAATTGAAGTTTCAAGCAGACTTTCTAAAAAATCTAAAATCCACGAATGATCTTACCTTATCTTATCAAATATTATAGTTAGAGTGTAAATTAGATCGAAATGGGAAATAATTAAAGCTCGCTTAATTTAATTGATTGTGATAATGATCTATTGATATATTGCATAGTTTTCTATAAAAATAAGTTCTCTGGCGTTCATTTCTTCTTTGGGGAAACATTGATTGCACATTTAAGTTGCCTTAAACAGCATACATTTTTATTGAAACTAACTTGGGTGCCTAATTATGTGCTCTGTGTTATATACTTCTACAATAAAACAGACAGAAGGAATCATATGACAACTAATAAAATAGATGTGAATATTCCTGGACTACATGCAGCTGAATATGACTAAATGAAGGTCCCTATGTAAGAAATTAGGCAGTAATTTATACAAGATTTGGTAAATATTTGTGTCTGCTAGCCTCTAGCGCTGCATAAATTTACATTCATTTACATGAAAAATCACAAATATTACAATTTTCTATTATTAGATAACTTAAATATTTGCTAACTATTTAAACCTAAACATATTTAATCTATATACATAGTCGGAATACGATGTTTGTACTTTCCCTTTATCTATATTCTATTTTCAGACATTTTACTTTTTCTGTATTCTACTTTCTGTCTTTAGAATCTACGTAAGCATTTGTACTCTGGATTAAGCAATAAATGTGCGAATGTAATATTATTAGATATACTATAAAGTTGGAACGTACCCTCTCCGCTAATATGTTATAATTATCCTTCAACACCTGCACTTCATCTCTGCTCTGGGCAAGAAAGGCCTCCTTCTTGTTAATCTCTTTGAGCAGCTGTCGTTTTAGCTATTATTGCGGTAGGAAAGAGCGGAATTAATAAAAGATTCAGGTATAAGCGGCGTCTACCTGCGCCGCGTTCAGCACTCAATAACATACATTCTCAATTTCGTCGGGTACGATGTTATGTATGTAAGTACGCTCTTCGCTATCATTTTCCAGTGAGGCCGCAAGCTTGGCCAGTTGCTGCTTTTTCACAGTGTTCTCTGTGAAGAAATTCAATTGCAATTAAGCTTGTTCATAAAAGTCGAAGATATGTTTTCGGTCCATACCTTTACTAAGCGAAGAGATTAGTTGCTCATTCTCCAAAATTTGGTCTTCTAAAACAGTCTTTTCATAGCGCTCGGTCTCCAGCTGAGCCTGCGAAAGTTATTAAAGAATTAGAATATGGCTGCAAGATTAGATATTCTTGAGTTGGTTGATTTCTTACCCGCAATCCTAAAACCTCGCGTGTGCGCTGCTCGAGCAGCACTGTTTTTGGTGTCGACGGAGCGTAATTTGGGCTAACATCTAGTAAGCTGCACAGCTCACGTTGCACTGGATGGGGAGTGGCAAAATTCGTGCCCACAGTCGAATCGTTGTCGATTGAAGCCGAATCCTTACTGTTGCCATCGAGCTCAGAGGATTTTAGATCACCATTATTGTCGAATGTGGCGCCAACAGTTAGGAATGTGAGGCCACGCGGCTGCGACTGGGTCGGAGACGATTCTGCACTCTCAACAATTTCACTGATGCCAGCAATGGTCTCGCGCAAGTGAGAACGATTCATATCTGGATTTTTCATAGCCTGAGTGAAAAATGCCGCCATGTACTGCTGTGTAAGGTCTGGCAGAGTCCTGCAAATATTATGAAAATATTCGCTCGGGCACTGAACGCAAGCGTAGTGCATGAGAAGTGTGTAGACATAGGCATAATCATTTGCCATTATACGGCCATTGCGCTCCAGAAGCGGCTTAAAGTGTGGATACACATCTAAAAACAGAAGTATTCATTATTCACTATAATTGCGTTTTGAGCATCCGAATGCACCTTTTAGAAATGTCTGCAGTTCTCCCGGAGAAAATGGGGATGGGCTTTTGGGCGACGATGCCGATCGTCCAGATGACTGCCCAACTTGTACATACTGGGTATATTGTTTGAAAAAGTCCTCGATTTCGGAATCTTCAAGACAGATAACATTTGTAAGGAAATTGCACTTCTGAACCTAGTATTAAAAGGTAGGAACAGAAATTAATGGATGAATGGGCAATCCCTAGCCGGTCTCAGTAAGGCATTTAACAAACTTACCCACTGCAAGAGTAGCGCTTTCCACATACGTAACTCCATACTTAAAGTCAAAACAAAAAAATACAAAAAAAAAAAAAAAACAAACTAAAGATATACAAATTAAGACTACACGCTAGCGTCAGTTGCCTGCGAAAGAAACAACATTCGTTCACTTTAGTAAATGCCACGGCACAAAATGTGCATCAACATTATCACTATTATAATAAATTGCACTTTTTCTGAAACTTACACGTGTTTCAATTTTCACTCTTGCTTAAATCGACGCTCGTTTGAAACTGTGCAAAACTAATTCCGGACGCTAACAAAATGGGCGCGCTTGTTGCGAATTGCGATACTTTTACTTATCGAATAATTTTGAAGGAGTACCGATTACTCATGTAACAACAGGTCCACTGTTGCGAATATTTTGTTATTTTGTGATATTTTGTGAAAATATTTTGGAAGAAAATATTTTGTAAAGAAAATATTTTATTTCGAAATATATATATATATTTTATAAATGACTGGGAGGTCTGTTTAGTTTGATGTAGTTTTACTTTATGACTAGTTTGTTCCCGTAGACGAAATGAGGTCGACTCGACGAGTGAATTTGTATTCTATGAAGACTTGATTATGATAATTTAATATGCCAAGTCAGGTAGCTTTGAACAGAAACAGAATCGTCAGTATTTATATACATCTAAATAAAAACAAAAACAAGTCGAATAATAATTGCTTTGGCGGTTGCTTTATGAAATTATCATCTCCAATTTGCGCCAATGCTTTACTCATTTTGGCACTGTTGCTTTCTTAAACACAAACAAATATGCAACAACATTTATATTGTGGCAAACGGAAATGAAATTCTCATGCAAAATCACAAGAATTTAGCACAAGCCACGAATTAATTTTTATTTTCTTTTAATACCGGGCCAAACGATAAACACATAACACTTACCGAGAAAGACATTGTATGCTAACAGTGCCAAATTGAGTAAAAAATCGATAGGTACAAAAATGAGTACCATAGCTTGAAAGATTGATGACTTGGTACTCCAACGTAAATTTAAAATGCTGTTATACCTTCTTTATTTCATAATTTATTATGTTAATCTATATAGCTATATAGACATATATATATATATAAATATGTGTAAATTGTTTGTTTGTTTGTTATTCTTTTTAATTTTTTATTTAAATATACAAACACATATATAGAGCTACATAAACATTTAAATAGAATTTATAAGATTCTATAGCATCGACTATATTGTCTAACTTACGTAATTTCTACATTTTTATCAATATCACGATGATGGCTTAAGATCAGGCATTAAATATTTCAAGTACATATTACGCGAGATTCCACAAATACTCATTTTAAATAGTAACGTCTGCGATTCAGGTACGTAAGTATAAACAGATGTACATCATAAATATGCCCTGAAAATTATAAGAATCGGACATGGAAAACAACATTTAGTTTATAAATCCAGCGTATGTGCAATTGTGTGTGTGTAAATGAATAGACTTAAGATACAATGTGTGCAAGAGCTCCACGGCACGAGGCTTTGTTCATCTCCTGCACTGGCACTTCCCATTACAGTTACTATACTTATTAAACGTGTAAGAATGCTCGGCAGTAGACTAGCAGATACTCTACAATGCCTTCAATTCATGAATCCTCAAAGCTAATTAAATCTCAAGTTTTTATGGTATTCAAGCTATGCCAAAAATACCAAATCAAAGTAGTGAATGTTAACGATATTGGAAATTGAAGGACTGGCACGATCTATGGGGAGAGAAAGAATATGCCCATATTGCATTGTCTATAGCTATTGTTCCAGCTCTGGTCTCTAGGTTCTAGCTTTGTCGTTCATGCGGACAAGCATTACCAAATCGCCTCAGTTCTTAGTCCTGCTGGAAAGTATTTGTAAATACATAATTATATATCCGTCATATGTCAGGAAGCCCTCATACCCGGATTTTCTCATTTTCTATTCACGTTACAAAAACTAGCCATTTGGCACGTTTTTCGCGGGGTATCCCTCGACCGATCAAACATCCCACGGTTCAGTTTGCCGCATAGCTCACGTATGCTGATTTAACTATAATGCCTACCCTATACAACCAGTCATATGCGCCACAGCTCTGCTGTAGGCCAGAGTGGCATGCCATACACTAAGGTAAACGTATCAAAAATCTATTCTAAATCTATTGTCTGAACTATGATCGTAAACTAAACCGCAAATGGGCGAGAGTGTATTAAGGCTTCGGCTCTCCGAGTGCTCAAACACATTCATGGATATCTGTAGATATACATTGTATACAGACTTATACACGTATACATTTGCCATGTGCTCACAAGTTTGATGCATGTAGATATATATACATATACGTACGTATGTATGTATGTACATATATTCACACATATTCCGAATCATTCACTGTAATGTAAATAAACAAACAGTAAATATTGTGTGTGCTGCTGCTGCTGGATTCGATACATACTTAAAAACAAATGCTCGGCCACAAAAATGTTCGAACCGAAATTTCGTGCGGATGGAGAGCCGTAGAGCCGTAGAGCTGTAGAGCCGGAGAGATGAAACTAAAGGCAACAATAACATTAAACGATGTCCGGATCGCTTTGATTTTTCATCAGATCGGTTCAGTTAGCATTTTCGATTGCTCGACGCTCCGGGCCGAATGTAACGCTCTGATTGTGCCGCGCGTTCTTCCATCCAGTTAGCTGGCATCTGCCTTTCCTTAACCAGTGTTCTCAATTAGCCAATTTATGAGCCCAATGGCAACTGGCCATCGCCCCCAATCCCACACAGTGCGCAGCGCCGCAGCAGCTGCGACGCTGGCCATGCAGATCCCCAATGTGACGGGTTCGCTGGAGCGTGGCAAAAGCAGGACGAGCATCACGTCCATGTCGGACGATGATATCATACAACAGAACCTCAAGGAAATCCTAGACATCAAATCGCGAGTAAGTGTGAACCAAGGAGTGAGTCAGTGTCCTCTTATCATTATCGGTGCTGTTGCACCTGGCACCAACGAGAAATTCCAACACTGATTCATCCAAAGTTTAAGGGGCTGTCATACGTGTGTGTGTGTGTGTGCGTGTGTGGCGCAGAGACCATATGAACAGCGCCATCAAAAGTTTCATTCACATATACAATATATATATTTGTACAAATATATACATGT